ACCTAAATGTCTGCCACACTCCCTTGCACTGTCTCCCATAACATGTGAAATACATCAGCTTTACTACCATTGCATCTAAGCCTTATCTAAAGTGCACATTGCCTTATCAGTATTGCACCTTCCCATAGAATCTTCAAGTACCTCAAACTACAACCTAATTCCTAAACTATTAGGTGCACCTGGGCCACACTATCTAACCAAGTGCTCATGCCAATACAAAGTGCTTAGTGCTGAGATTTGAAGTGCTAGTGCAGACAAGGGTTAATCCTTATCTTGTTTCCTAGTCAGGAGTGACTGCTTCTTGCAGTTCACTCAGCCCTTCCTTAACCTTAGGTTTCAGGTGTCCTTCTTGTCTGTCTCCTGGCAACAGACTTGAGGGAGCAAATTCCTGTTCTTTTCCTGGATCTGAACTTCCCCTGCTGTGGCAAGGTTTCTGTGCTGTTTCACTCTGTACCAGTCTCCAGCACTCCTCCTCAGCCACTGGCTCCAATCATCTCTCTCTCTCTCTCTCTCTCTCTCTCTCTCTCTCTCTCTCTCTCTCTCTCTCTCTCTCTCTCTCTCTCGCTCTCTCGCTCTCTCGCTCTCTGATTCCCTCTTAACTGGCAAGCCCTGCCCACAGGCAGGGTCTCTCTCTCTCTCTCTCTCTCTCCCCTTCTGATACCCTCTTAACTGGCAAGCCCTGCCCACAGGCAGGGCAGCTGTTTATTGAAAAGGTGCAGGGATGCTGCCCCTTTTCTGGCATTGCTCCAGCTGCTTTCCACCTCATTCTTCCCCCTGCCAACATGGCACGCTCTTTTTAACTTCTTTTTGTTCTCATTCTGCTCACAGTCCCTTTCTGGTGTATTGGACCATGTGCAAGCTATATAACAGTGTACACTTAGGCTGTGACTGTACCCTGGTATCATTAAGTCCCTAAGCATCAGGTTTACTTGAGGCCTGGAATCCACTTGGTACTAGTGTTAGACAACTATGCTGATTAGGATCTAGAAATCAAGTAGTTCTGCAACAAGAGATGAGCCCCAACAGGCTACTGTCATTAGAAGGCTTTTCAGGTAACTTTCTCAAACTCTCTGGGATCATGCAACAGTGTTCAGGATTGTGCTTCTCTTAGATAGAACAGACACCGATTGCCCTCACAATATGGAAATGTTTTGAAATGAATGAATTTTCAGGTCATCTCTTAAATCAGGTATAGATTTCATAGATTTCGTAGACGTTAGGGCTGGAAGGGACCTCGCGAGATCATCAGGTCCAGCCCTGGGGTCAGATCACCCCAGCAAGATAAGCATCCAAGCATTTCTTCATAGATTCATAGACATTAGGGCTGGAAGGGACCTCGGAAGATCATCGAGTCCAGCCCCCTGCCCAAAGGGCAGGAAGTCAGCTGGGGTCATAGGATCCCAGCAAGATAAGCATCCAGTTTGCTCTTGAAGGTGTTCAATGTAGGCACTTGAACCACCTCCGGTGGCAGGCTGTTCCAGACCTTGGGGGCTCAGACAGTAAAGAAATTCTTCCTTATGTCCAGCCTGAAACGGTCTTGAAGTAGTTTGTGACCATTCGACCTCGTCATCCCTTGGGGCGCTCTGGTGAACAAACGTTCCCCCAGATACTGGTGGTCACCCCTGATAAACTTATAGGTGGCCATCAGATCACCCCTGAGCCTGCGCTTTTTCAGGCTAAAGAGCCCCAGGGCTCTCAGCCGGCCCTCGCAGGGTCTGCTTCCCTGACCTCTGATCATGCGCGTGGCGCTTCTCTGGACTCTCTCAAGCTTCTCCACATCCTTTTTGAATTGTGGAGCCCAAAACTGGACACAGTACTCCAGCTGCGGCCTCACTAAGGCCGAGTACAAGGGGAGAATGACGTCCCGGGATTTGCTTGAGAAGCATCTATGGATGAAAGCCAGCGTTTTGGTCGCTTTACTAGCCGCCGCATCGCACTGC